CCAGTGTTTTTTCTCTGTGAAGGAAGCACGGCCCCACCTCGCAACTTTGCCGAGACGCTGCCGACAGAAATGAGCGTGAGGATCTTTGGCGAGCTGGACGCGGCGAGCCTGTGCAGCGCGGCGAGGACCTGCAGGCTGTGGCATCAGATCATCGAGCAGAGCGAGCAGCTGTGGAGGAAGCAGTGCCTGATGGTCCGAGCCATCTGCCAGAGGGAGGTCGACAGCGACCGGAGACACGGCCTCTCCTGGAAGGTTCCTCACATATTATGTCTTTAAACTTAGAAAACATCTCAGATTCTTCTGAAACTTTTCCAGGTTAATGATCCGCTTCAAACAGGAAGTACGCTCGTTTCAGGTCCTGCTGTCATTAGTCAAAAAGGGATGAAGGTCAGAGGTTTTAACATTTTTCCATCAATGTTTTTCTGATGGATGTGATGCTGATGAAGGTCATGTGACCTGTGTCAGCAGGTCAGAGCTGAGCTTTGATCTCCAGGTTTTCATGTCAGCTGAGTTGATTTATGCACATTAAATCCTGAATATTCCAAAAAGCATCACAAACTTGCAGTTTTCACAGGAACTTTCTATGAAGTTAGGTTTGGTCCACGGTGTCACACCTGTGGAACGTCACACTGGAGACATGTTGTTGTTTTCTTTTCATATTCAAGCTTTAAGTGCCTCAAAATATATTGTTGGAAAATGTCTAAGAACACCTCGCCCTTTGTTTGAGCTGAAAGTTTGAATAATTTCCCCAAAGACTTGGATCCCTGACCTGGAATAGTGACAGAGTCAGCTGGGAATTATTTTGATGGGATGAAGCGGCTCTGAGAGCCACCGGCTTTCGTCTGATTGGGCTTCTGCTGGAAGGTTGCTGAGGGGCAGAACCTGTGGCAGATGTTCCAGCTGTTCTCACTGAAGTGTTGGATATACTCATAACATCACAGCTGTTAGTCCAGCGTCTGAAACCAGCGTCAGCCAGAAACAGCAGAACTGCTTTCTGACCGTTTCCTGTTTCCTGTCCTCAGGTGATCCTGGTGAGGAACTACATCCGCAGCCTTGTGAAGAAAGACTGGCTGATTGGACGGTTCAGCCACGTGAGGTCGGCGGACGAGCTGAGCGGCAGGAAGCTGACGCCGCTGGACGCGGAGACCTGGGGCGAGATCCTGCAGGCCGAGCTGGATCGATGACGGCGTTGCAGTTTTATCAAAGCACCTCGAGCACTTCTGATTTTTAACTCTAATATATTCCCTCTGTTTGTGTTTCAGGGAAACACAAACTTTTGTACATACTTTTAACATTTTTATAGAAAAAAATCACAGAGAAACAAAGTGAATTTTTTTTTAAATTTGAGCCTTTTTGTTTTGGGTTCCCTGGATTTATCACGTGATTAAAGATCAACGA